GCACCGCCCGCGCTTGCATGCTTGCATGTAATGCCGCCGCGGACGGGTAAGGAGCCGGTGAAATCACTGATGACAGCCGGAGGCGGCGGCGGGCCCGGGCGCCGCCTCGCCGGCCGGCCGCCGGCGGCGGCGGGTGCGACGCGTCGCTCTCTGCATTTCCTGTCGGCTGGAATGCGGATCGCCCGCCGGGCGTCATATGATTCAGTTCAGCTTGGACGCCGGGGGAGGAGAGGCGCGCCGACGGGCCCGGTACGGCACCGCTGCCGCCCGGCGACGCCCGGCTGGGGGCGGCCCGGCCGCTGACCACGGCCGCCCGCGGCCGCTGCGTGGGGTACCGCCGGCCGCGGCGCGCTCGGCGAGAGCGGCGGTGGCGGGCGGCCGCGGGATAGCGGTCCCAAGGAGTCAAACCGGTCGCACATCTAAGTCATTTCGATGTGTCAAACGATGTAGATTATTCCTTCACTACGTAAAGAGCTTGGGTAGCTCTTTATGCACACACTCATCAGCGTCTTACTCCACCATCGGAAGCTAGCAAATTGCTAGGGGGTAAAACAAAAATGTTCACTGGCCACAACAATGTCATGAGCTCCAAAAAGCCAAGCTTGCCACACGCAACTGAAATACGCATTTAGATGGATTTGGTGGGGCCGGCTACTCCACTGCCCCAATCTGACCCGGTGTGCGACCCTTTAACGCATTTCGAAAGCGCGTCAGGGATTGGCTCCACGGGTGCGGCTGCGGCGGCTGCGGCGGCAGCGGCGGCGGCGGCGGCGGCGGGTGCGACTCTCAGGCGACGTAAATTATTGTCTACCAAATAAGCAGCGGTTTAGATATGCATACTTATCAGTGTCTTACTCCACCAGCTGAACCTTACAAGTTGGCAGGGGATAGTAGGACACAGAAATGCTCATTGGTCACATCATCATGAAATCTAAATACTTAAGTTCGTCTCACGCAACTGAAATTCGCATTTAAAGGGACCTGACAGGGCGGCTAGTCCACTCCACCAATTTGGCTCAGTGTGCGACCGCTGCACGCAAGCTCGAAAGCGTTTCAGAGATTTACCCCAGCAACACTTTTCCGTATATTTGATTCACTGAACGAGGGCAACATTGTGATTTCAGAAAGCATCCGCTGAGCCTTAACCCAACGAGTGAAGGGCAGCGAGCCCGTCACCACTGGTGCACTATACTGGTCACCGCTGGTGAACTATACTGGTCACCACTGGTGCACTATCGTCCAAAGTGCCGTTCGCAGCGCAGGCACTTCACAGCCGTCTGCAAGCAAACGATGTCCGATGAGACAACACAAGAATCAGGAGATCCTGCAACTTTTCTGAAAAAAATCATATTTTCAGCGGCATTTGAATGTGTAATGGCCGGGTCCCTTTCAGAGTCCCTTTAAAGAGGATTGCGCTTCTTCATGGGACGTTTTCGGTCGAGATAGCCCCGGCGAAGCGCACAGAGAGATCTACATAACGACGTTCCTAATATAGACTGCAGCAGTCTATTCTTGGGCTTGAACGTTCCAACGGCCGGGTTCCATTTCGTTCCGGCCGTGTGCTTGTTATCATTATGCATGACATCAGCGGACGTGCTGACACACGGAAGCGGCGAACCGTCACTCACAGTCACATATCGTAACGGATTTGCGGCGCGTTGCTTCGATCGAGCATGTCATTGGCCGACGGAGATCGCGCGCAGCACAGTGGCGCTATTGGTTGCAGGATATTCGGGAGGCGGGACGTGATTGGCGAGCAGGGATGTAGCGTGCGACGCGTGGGTCACGCGCGATGGAAGGCTTCGGGGCTGACCCGCTTTTTATTCTTGATTAAAATGTGACAATTTTAGCATTTTGGGCGCCGGCGAATGGCAGAACATCTTTGGTGCAAGCCAGTCACATCCCATCCCTGCCTGTTTATGGCTCAGATGCGGACCATTTCGTTACGGCAGGCGTGAAACGCTTCAGGATTGACGAACGTAAGCAGCTTTCGACGTGCCCTTCTGCCTTCAAATTTACGTCATCTGTTGTGACTATGGGCGTGGGGGTCGGACAACTTTATCATTCAACACCTTTATTGGCCATGGGGCATATACAATACGATCATCAAAGCAATCCTTTTAAGACGTGCAATGCAGCAGAGCCGACTGCAAAGTGCAGTCGCAAATCAGGCGATGACGTGTTGACAGTGATAGGACGCAGACACGTTCTTGTTGTACAGCAAGCTACCTGCTCGCTGCAACAGGCTTGAGCACAGCCATGGCGATTACAGCCAGGCTGGTGTCACGCACATTGTTTTTTTTTTCGAAGAGATCGCTGCATATAGACAGGTGTGGTAAAACATCAAACTGTTTCTCACCGAGATTATCACTGCTTTCGGTAGCTGCTGTCGGTCAGCATCCAACACGCCTTTCCGTCAGACGCAAGTGGGCTGCCTTTATGGAGGAAGCGAGGATCCACCACTCCAATGACCAGACTCAAGGGGCGAAAACAGGGTGCGTCTTAGCAGCATTCTTGCCACGACAGGTTACTGTTCTGCGCCTCACTGTTTATCGAAGACCAAACAACTTCGACGGCGAGCCTGTGCCGTAAAGAAAAGAGACGAACGCTATAACGATCCTCCGACACCGGCCACCAGACGCGGTGATATCCTCGGGAAATAGCCACTGGCCACAGACGATAATGGTGAAGCCGTGCCCAGCTGTGTTTAACCCCATTAAGCTGAGCTGAGCTGAGCTGTGCTGGGCTGGGCCTCACTGGACCGAGCTGAGCTGGACGCGCTGTGCTGAGCTGAGCCTGGGACGAGCTGAGGTGGGATAGGCCGTCGGCAGTATGCTCCCCGGCCACGGACGGAGACGCCGGAGAGTCATTGCAGACGGCTCCTCCATCACTTACCGCTGACGTTATCGGTGATCGGAGCCCAGGTGGTTTGCTATTAAACTCAGCTGATGACATGCTGAGTCATTGGATGCTGGAGCGCTCTCACTCTCCCTCCGACGTCCAGGTGTGGTTAGCAGGTTTTGAGCTCCTCGCTAATGATCTCTTTGAAGACAGCTCTGGAATCGGTACTGTCCTCCAGCCTGATTTCGGCCTTGCTGTAACATTCCTCGGGCCCCGTTTTCCCCGCTGTTTAGTTTACGTCCGCATCCTTTGAGACAACGTCGACTCCCACTGCCGCTGTTCGGTGATTGTTTGGGTCGGACGGTTTTACAGTGTCATCGGACGTCCGACCAAGTGACGGTGATTACGGCGGCCCTGGAAATGGCTTCTGACGCCGTCTACCTGTGAGGTCCACAAATATCTGGACCGAACCGAGGCTGTATAAATTCCTCTGCGCGATCCGCACAAACGACACGCTTGTCAGCTGACTCATGGCCGGTAAAGAAGCTTACCGGCTGCCCGGCGTGAGGACCCGCCCCACCTGCCCCCTCCCTCCCATTCAATTTCCACCTGCCTTCATATCCACCTGTGCGCTATACGCCCGGGCAGCAATGTCGCGGAGCGTTTGATGCTCCCTCGACGCTGAGAGGTCTTCTATTACTTATCATTTGTGAGATATGAGCTGGACACGTGCCGAGAGAAGTGGAGACTCTCCTGTTTTCAATAGTGTTTTTGTTCTCAAGTTAGCTGTGTTTGCTGAGCTGCGATGCCGGTCCGAATCCCCGACATCCGCCGAGCGAAGTGAAGTAGCGTACGCTTATCGCACTGGGTGCGGTCCGGCACTGTCTGTCGACGGTCTTGTGTCGCCGCCACCTCGTGTTTTCCGTCAGTCATCTCACGCCTCCCGGCGCCGCCCGTGCCCCGCGCCGCCCGCCAGCCCGGCGGCCCCAGCGTTGTCCGCCGTCGCGCGGCACCCGGCCGATGTCGGCTCGGCCGGCTGTCGCCCCGTCACCTCGCCGCTGTCCCGGTACCGCCGGCTGGCGCCGCGCGGCCCGCCCGTGTTTTATTGGGCTGTTGCCGTGTTTTACGGTGAGACCGTGTTTTATGGGGGACAGAAAAGTGTCCCTGGCCGGGTCCCGGCGACAGCTACTGACGGACCACCCAGAAACTGGAGCTGGCCGGCGATTTAGTGGCGGCGGCCGGGCGCGCGCCGCTATCACGGCCCGGCATCGGGGGCCGACCGCTCGCGTCCCCTCTCTCACAGCCGCTCCGTCCCTTCCGCCGACATGTAAACGATGCGTCATCCGATCCGAGTATGTATTTGAACACGGTCACGCGGCTAGATTAAACACTTCATACATCATGGTAACGGCGCCTACTACAACGCACTCCGGAATAAATTAGCGCGCTGGGGCGGCGCGGACGAGACATGGCACAACATGACAATCACGGCGCCCGCGCGGCTTGACGATCGCGCCGGCGGACAAATGAACATGACGACACCTGAGACAAGACGGCGGCGGTCGCGCGGCGCGCTCCGCTCACATGGCCAGGATGTCGGCGATGGAGAAGCCGGTACGCTTGCCGACGCCCGGCTCTGGCGACGAGCAGTTGCGCGGCGGCGAGGCCCAACCCAGCGAGTCGGCCGGCGACTTGGGCGGGCTGGCCGAGCGCTCGCTGCCCAGCGAGTCGCGGGGCGAGTGCACCAGCTCGTGGAAGCGCAGCGAGGAGAGCCGATCGAAGCGCTCGCCGCAGAAGCAGCGGTGCACGGCGGCGGCCGCGGCGGCGGCGGGGGAGGCGGCGGTCGTGGCGGGCCGGCCGGCCGGCGGCGTGAGACGGTTCTGAAGCGTGCGCAGCTCGGCCGCTGCCGTCGCCGTCTGCTGCGAGCAAGACGACCGGTGCACGGCCAGCGTGCGCGCCTGGCAGAAGCCCTTCTCGCAGACCTCGCACTTGAACGGCTTCTCCTTCATGTGGATGTACTTGTGGTCGCGCAGGTGGTCCTGGCGCCGGAACGCCTTGCCGCACACGTCACACGGGAACGGCCGCTCGTCCGTGTGCGTGCGCTCGTGGATCAGCAGGTTGTAGCTCTTGCTGAACTCGCGCTGGCAGTACTTGCAGATGTAGCGCTTCTTGGGGCGGCTGGGCTTCTGGCCCAGCAGCTCCGGCCGGAACATCGGGTGACTCAGGTAGCTGAGCAGGGACGGGTGCAGCAGCAGTTCGGGCTTGGCGGCGGCAGCCAGCAGCTGCGGCGCCAGGTAGAAGTTGGGAAGCTGGGCCGGGTGCATGGCGAGGCGCTGGCGGAGCAGAGCGACGTGCGGGCGGCTGCTGCGGGCGCACGGCGACGAGTGGCGCGGCGGAGGCCGCGGCGCGCAGCGGCCGGCCGCCGCCGGACCGCCCCTCGCCGCCGATTGGCTGCCGCGCAGGGCCCGCCCACCGGCAGCGGCCGCCGAGGGGGCGCCGAGGAGCGGCTGCCCGAGCTGCCTCATCATCGGGCGCCGCGCGACCTGCTGACCCCCGCCCCACCCAGCTCTCCCGCTGTCGCCTCTCTCTCTCTCTCTCCTCTCTCTCTCTCTCTCTCTCTCTCCTCTCTCTCTCTCCTCTCTCTCTCTCTCTCTCTCTCTCTCTCTCTCTCTCTCTCTCTCTCTCTCTCTCTCTCTCTCTCTCTCTCTCTCTCTTATTCTCTCTCTCTTATTCCCTCTCTCTTATTCCCTCTCTCCCTTGCGTCCTCTCTTTCTCCGCTTCTGTTGACAGATGACATTTGGACTTACGACCAGTCATTTGTCATTGTTTTTTAACAACATTTTTGAAAATATATCAATATGTTAGCTCTCACGTCCTGTTGCATATCGCTGCTTTCTGGCCTGCCTTTCTGGCCTTTCACGTTTTCCAATATTCTGTCTTTCTGCACACGTCCGATCCTTCTCTGGCTCCGCTGGTTGCTGTCTTCCTCCTTGTCGTGGTTATCATCTTTTTGTCCCTGATTATCATCTAACATTTATCTATATGAGGAATCGATATAGGTAAAGGATGAATATCTTCAGATTAGCCTTGCTCTGTTGCTATTCTCCATATTCTTCCGCCATACAATTTCTCCGTTCCTCGCTTTGCCGAAATCATTCTTGTGTTTATCCTTGTTTGCGACGGCACTTCCCAGCCTCTCTGTCTGCCGGTCCCCTGTCTTCCTGTCCGCCTGCGTCTCCTCTCCTCTCGCCCCCTCCTCTCGGACGGACGGCGCCGGCCGTCTGGAGGCGGCGCGCGGAACCGCCGCGCAGCTCACGCCGATAATCACAGCTCGGCGTCCCAGCTAATTAGAGTGTCGCACGGTCCGCACGCTGACCCGACCGACAAAACAATCGGCGCCGCCCTACCCCAAACGCGGTCGGCCCGGCTAACGAGCGGGTGTGAAGACACGTCGTCTACAAATTGACGGGGGAAGTCGGCTCCTTTCAGCGAACGGGTTGCGGTCGTGTAATCAGGCGCTGGACACGGTCCAGAACACCAGCGCCGCGCGACCGGCCGTCAAATCACAGACCGCCGCATTAGCGCGCGGCGACTACTCGTGCTGGGCAGGGGCCGGCCCGCCGCGGTCGCCGCCGCTGCGTCTGTCATTAGCCGGCCGCGGCCTGTTTGGCGGCGGACCCGCCGGGCCGCTTTGTTCGAGCGACGGCCAGGCGCGCCCCGCCCGCCGCTGACGGCTATTTACACGGGCCAGTCGCGCTTCTTCGGTCGCGCGGGGTTTCTCACACTTTTCAATCGGTGATGAGACTTTGATGACATGATATCGGCTGTGCGGGCCTCCTCGTAGCGCGCTGGGCAGTCATCAATATGGTGGGCTTCATTATACCCGTCCCGAGATAACTGATCTGGCCGTACAGGGACAATGTGATGAGGTTTATTCATACGCCGTGATAGCGGGAAATTTCTGGGTGCGGGGGTGCCGCCACAGAAGACTTCGCCGCATGAGAAACGGCCGTCTCCAAACAGGCATCCATTCGCTTTAGGGAGCACCCGCGCTCTCCAGATGTCTGTCTCGGCGGAAGAGTGCTTCTTTTTGGCCAGGGCTATGCCTGCACTGGCGTGCCGTAAGTTACACCATTCTGCTTTTAAGTAAAAGGAGAGAACCAAACGCCAACCAGGGCACTGAAATCATTCATGCACGTGCTTACGAAAATCCCCAATTTGACAAAGCCACGTTAAATATCGATAGGGCTCATCAGATTCTTAAAACCCCTTCGCGTAGAATCCAAACACGCACAATACAAATGGGAGGACATGCTGTCAGTTTTGGCGCGATAAATTTGCAGAAAAAATCGATCACTGTACAAAAGCGTGGTCACGAAGAACAATTGTACGTGTAATCTAACTGCTCAGGCGGTTATTGTTCCACACTGTTCGTCGCCTTCGGGCAATGGGTGACTTTTCCCAACATTCATGTTCAAAACACAACAAATACCAAACCAACATCACTTCCGCAAACGTAGATGAGCGCCACGAAAATACGCACAGAGTAGCAAATCCTGGTGTACGCCTGAAATGACCAGGCACATACTGGTCCCTGCGAAATCCCACCACACATTTGTCGATGTCGCTTTTTCCTCACGTCTATCGAACCGGCTCCCCAAAACGCGCTGAGCCCAAACTCTCAGCAGGCCGCGGCATGTTCTGCGCGTTCGGCGCGTGGCGGTGCGTCTAGTGCGTCTGAGTGGTGCGGCGGAGCACCGGGCGGGTGACGGGTGATGGATCACCAGCACCACTGCCGGGCACCACTGCCGGTGCCCGCCGCCGCTGACCGCCGGCAGATCACGGCCAGCCCGCTCCGGGGCGATCATCTGACCGACAATCGTGCGCCGGCAATCCGTCGGAATGGAAGTATCAATTAGCTTTCTAATCATGCAATCACGCAGTGCGGCACGACCTATTGCCGACGACTCTGGAGGCGTCGGCGTGAGGGACGGCGCGGGAACGGGCCGTGCGCCGCCTGAAGGTGGAAGGTGTGTGGAATCTCGTGCTCACTGTCACAGTGCAAAGCTTTCACTTTCGGTCGTGCCTTGGTTTGCTCAACGGCTGGATCGGAGAGCTGGGAAAAGAGAGAGCCGGGCCTTCGTTGCATTGGAGTGAAGTAGTGATTATATTGCCTTCCTCGGATGCATGGGGGCGCGTTTACTACTTAATAGGCTTGATTGCGTATGCAAATGTGCTGACCCGTGAAGTTGCGGTCACTGGAGTCTGACAGCATGCCAATACCGTGACCCGTGGTGACCTGATCGGGTCTGGACACTGACCAGTGCCGACCAGATCGAGTCAGGACAATGACCCGCGTCGACCAGATCGGGTCTGGACATTGACCAGTGCTGACCTGATCAGGTACGGACGCTGACCCGTACAATCCCTGGGTAGATCTGGACACAGACCCTTACAAGTCTGGTCAGGTCTGGACACGGACCTATGCCACTCTGGCCAGGTCTGGACACGGACCTATACAACTCTGGCCAGGTCTGGACACGGACCTATACAACTCTGGCCAGGGCCTGAACGCTGATCCATGCTATCCTGGACACAGGGATGTGGTTTGCTGTTCAACTGTGTAAGAAGACTTCCATCAACTTAGAGAGGCAAGTGAGTCAAATGCTGGGAGAAACCTGGTTTTGTTTTGTTTTTGTTTGTTTTTTTTTTGCAGGGGATTTATGTACCCATTCTCCTAATTTTAGCTCACGGAACTACACAGTGCGTGAAAACTGAGGCACCAGTTGTGGTATGATGATGACTGGACACGAGAGTTGGGGCACTCCCCTTGAAGCAGTTGTGCCATCGGTCGACCTGACGGTCGCGGCACCGGTCTGTGTAAGTTGTGTACTGTCTGAACTGCAAACCGTTGAGTGGCATTTTTGATCCGGTATGAACTGACCAGTTTGGATATCCGTCTGGACACTGACCAGTTGTGGCATGATCCGGTCTGGACACTGGCCAGTCGTGGTATGACCACGTCTGGACACTGACCATTTGTGGCATGATCCGGTCTGAATACTGACCAGTTTTGGCATCATTCGGTCTAAACACTGACCAGTTGTGGCATGATCCGGTCTGGACACTGGCCAGTCATGGTATGACCACGTCTGGACACTGACCATTTGTGGCATGATCCGGTCTGAGGCACCAGTTGTGGTATGATGATGACTGGACACTGAGTAGTTGGGGCCAGCTCCCCTCTGGCAAGTGTCCAAGTTGTGTCCCGTCCGGTCTGGACACTGACCATTTGTGGCATGATCCGGTCTGAATACTGACCAGTTTTGGCATCATCCGGTCTGGACACTGACCAGTTGTGGCATGATCCGGTCTGGACACTGGCCAGTTGTGGCATGACCAGGTCTGGACACCGACCTTTGGAATCCTGGTGAGGTCCGGAGCCTGGCTCCCTCCTCTCGAGGCCTTGACCAGATCTAGCCCCGTTCCGGACCACATCCCGGCCGCGGACCTGAGTCGCGGGCGCTGGTCAATCCTGACCGCCGGCCTACGGCTAACGGTTAGGACTGACCAGCGCCCGGTCGGAGCCGTGCGCGGCGCCGGCCGGGCATGGACGCTGACCTGTGCTGACCTAGTGCAGACAGTACGCCACGGCCGGTCTCGGCGCCGCCCGCTCGCTGCAGCCCTCTGCAGCGTGACCACCGGCGCCTGTAGTTGCTGCAGCCGGGCTGCACGGTGACGTACGGGTTGTACCGCCAGCCGGCGCGGGACGCAGCGCCGATGTCGGCCCGCTCACTGTGCAATTAGGCGCCATCAGAGAGCTCGCCAGCGTGCGGCACAGTCGGCGGGCATGCCCGGCCGTGAGCCGGAACGCTTCGTGCTGCAACACGTGGTAGCTCTCCCCAAATGGCGTTTTGGCAGCGCTGTGGCGCGACGTCCGTGACATTTCAAGGGCGTTGGCTGCTATGTATGGGAAATGAGAAATAGGGATGATGTTAAATAGACGTTTAACAGGATGCGAAGCACGGCTTTGGTTTCAATTACATCTTAAGTTTCAATTAAATGTTGGTTTCAATAACATTTGTTTTCTAATTATATCTTTAGTTTCAATAACATATTCGGTTTCAATTTCATCTTTAGCTACAATTACATCCTAAGCTTCAGTTATATCTTCGATTTCAATTACATCTTTGGTTACCAATGCATTTTTGGTTTCAATTATATCTTTATGTTCTAAGATTTTTTTGTCTCGATCACATCTTAAGTTTCGATGACATTCACACCTCAAATTTGTATTGCATTTTACGCTGCAATCACATCTTTAATCGAGGCTTTCCCAAATTATAAGAAGCACAATTACAGCTACAATCGG